TCATGACCCTGAAATTGGCAAAGACATTCACGATATGATATGATTAATTAGAAATGGTGCATAATACATCTAGCACATATGCGACACAAAAAATCATAATATTGTAATTATCATTCCAAATACATCTGTCAAGAATGTATTCCAAGAAGTAGAATATAGCAAGCGAATCGTAAAGTTGTGTTATTTGGGTTTATGCAGTAAGTTTAATCTTTTCCATTTGCTTGACGTTTCGTCTCATTATGCGCAATTGGCTGATCTATAAAATGCCCCGTCAGAACCTACCAATTGTTATATAAATATAACAATTGAGAAAATTTATTAACTCATTAAATACATTACGCCTACCAAAATATTAAAACATCAATGTAATTGATATTCAGTGACAGAAGGCTGTCATAAGTCAAGCGGTTAAATGCATAAAGAGTATTCTTCTCGCAGACAGTCAGTTTAACCTCTCAGTGTCCAGTAAGAAGTTTATTTCTTACCTCCGGACAGCAGGCCGACCCGACCCAGTTATAACCGAATTCAGCGGCAGCCCAGAGTAAGCCACTCTTAACGGTTGTCCACTCGGTTCGGACATCAGCGATTATCTTTAGGATCTATTCAAACCGTCATGCGATCTTGTTTGGAAGTTTCACCCTCGTATTCGTAGACAGTGCTTGCCATTTGATTCACTGGCTGTTTCTGCCGTCAGGTCTTCGCACGATTCTCCATCGTTTGAAACGGAGGATGCCAAAAAGAAGGTGATGATCCGTTGACGGCTCTGCATTTTTCTTAATGCGAACATCCATTCAGAGCGTCGTAAATCAGACGATGCGATGATCAAATCGATCATCGACTATTGTGAGCAAGCGTTCGATGCTATAAGAGGGTGTTCATAATGGACAGTCCGTTGCTTGCATAGAATCGCAACATCTTCATGCGGCTATTGCTGAGTTGGCCAGGGTCGTTCTTCCCCAAATTGCCTTTCCCCTTTTCCATGTCTGTCCTGACATGCACATTGAATCGCCCATTAAACTGATAGATTCGCAGTGGACATTTCTTACAAAGCACCTTCCTCATCCTCCAGAAAAGAAGTACATCCTCTTCCGTGGTAGGAGAACATCAGGGTACTCCATTCAAGAATGGTGTCTGCGCCTCTTGCTACTTTAGAGGTGGCAGATGATCTGCTAGAATACTATGTTTTCCCTCTGGATTGTGGCACCTCACCGACCATCACCGAACTCTTCCCATCATTTTTGGCTTCAGCTACAGTTTTAATTGATGTCTTGCGACCTTGTTTGTATCGCATCCGAGTTAAATCTCTTTCCTTAAATGCAACCTTTTGAATGAAACTATCTTTCCACTGGCAGCCAGCTGAACCTCTGGCAACACCAGCAATTTTGTTTCTGAGGCGACAGTACAATTTGTCTCACGCCGCAGCATTCAACTTCAGCTCAAGGTAATCCATTTTTAAATAACTTCCATTCGATTCTCACGTCAGGCATCATTAGCAAGCTCTGTCAAACCACTGTGCACTGTTTCTCTGTCAGTTTTGCCCTCATATCCGCAGAAGTCAGTGTTTACCATTTGATTCTCTGGTTCCTCATGGGCCAGAGCTTTGCATGGTAATCTATTCTTGGCAACGGAGGGAGCCAAGACTAAGGATGATGGGTTGACGGCTCTGCTCCTCTCTCAACGTGAACATCATTAAAGAGCGTCGTAAATCATATGATATCATTTGATCATCAAATCAATTAATGATTCTGTGCACACGCTTCTCTATACCCGGTACAAAGATGCAATCTTCGATGCTTGAAGAAGATGTTCATAGCAGGTAATCCGTTATTTGCTGAAAAGGGCAACAATTTCATGCCATTATTGTTAAGACCGCTAGGGTTGTTCCTGTCAGTGGCGCCTTTGAAATTTTAGTCACTGTTTCAACTTGTGCATCTACGTGGCCAATCAGAAAAATAAATTCTGTAGTTAGCACATCGCATGGAGCACCTTCTGGCTCATCCGAGAAGGACGCATATTCATTCTCGGAATTAAGTGCATAGTCCCGTAACAGCCTTCTCCTGTGCAACCTCTGACAGAGGATTGTCACTCTTCTGCTGGCATGCTTCAATGAAATGACTCTGTAAACTATGTTTGGTTCTACCTGTACAGCAGCACCGGTCTGTGAGCAGGC